TTTAAATTTCATAGTAGTGTTGTCATATTCTTCTATGGCAACAGAAAACAACTTTGAGTGAAATTAACAACAAGGATACTGGAATTGAGAGACCTTGAAAAAGAATACAGTGGAAAGGGAAGTAATGTTAATACTGCAAAGTGTTAAAGGTTAAGAGATAAGAACTGATTTTTTTTTTAGTGTTTATGTAAATAATTGTTTACCATATCAATGCTTTTTGAGGAAATTTCAGTTATAATCTACAGAGTTTCTACAGACAACATTTTTATCCCTAAACTAAATGGAAAAAGAAATTCTAACCCAAAATCTTAACTTTGATGAATGCTAAAAGACAACTTTTATCACATGTCAGCAGGATAAAGGTTCAAGAAAAATAATTATTTACAACAGATGAGCTATCAAGTTTTATTTTTGTTTTTTTTTTTTTTTACCTGTGATATATTTTTTTTAAATTTAAACAATTTTTTGTAAAGAGAAGACATCAAAAGTTTTAAATAAAAAGCTAAAAATAGAATGACTAATTTTAATTTTTCTCACATATTCCAATTAGTTTACACAATGTTAAAGATAAAAAAAATAACCAATCAAAACATTGCAAAAGAGAAAAATATGGATGGTTTAAAAGTAATAGTCTTCATCTAATTAGTTATGCAGAAATAAATAATACTAGTACCTGAGTCCTATTATAGTTATTACATTTGCATATATACATTAGATATAATAATTACAATGGAAGAGATAATAATAGATAAGATATCGTCACACCTGTAAATGTTCATTTGACCAAAATACTTTAGACAAATAATTTTAAAAACAAAATATTAATTTTTTATTTTAATATATTTACTGCCATTCAAGTCAATACAGAAAAATACTAACTCACAAATATTACAAGAGACCAACAATAAACACATATAAATGATCAAGTGATGGTTTGAAAATAGTTGTGAGATTATATATATATATATATATATATATATATATATATATATATATATATATATATATATATATATATATATACACAAAATAAATAAGGCACAATTAAAGCACAAAACTCCATCACAACGTTGCATTGTGATTACAATAGGAAGTACACAAATACAAAATACTTATAAAATTTACAATATTCAGAAAGCAGTGTCAAAAACAACATTAATGAGACAATACAATTTCAGTCTCTGAAAATATTCTGAAGTTTTCCTTTCATTAAAAATTGCAAGTTCTTTATCTTAAATGATTATTAAACAATGTGCAGAGATAAACCTTAACGATTAATATTGATAACATCATTATTAATAAATGTACTTGTGGCACTTTTTATGATCTTTATGTTTTACAATCTGGAAAGATATACCAATTTTACATCCTTTTTGATTCATATTAATATCTTTACATGATTTTCAACTTTGACAAGGAAAAGACGGGATTGTCAATGAAGCAGAGAGCTTTGGTTAGCGTTAGTCTTCCTCAGAATAAGGTTTTAAAATTGTTTTCTTTATAACTAGATTGATCTCAGATGTAAACATAATAGAATATGTTCTAGATAATAGAGAGGGAAAAAGATGAAATTTTATCATCAAATTGTCAGCTATTATAAATATTAAATACACTTTGTTTGGTTTGACGTACCATTGCATTTTTACAGGATTAAAGAATAACGATAGACATTTGTTTTTGTTGCTTTAAGTGGTAAAGTTTATTGTACTTACTTATGGTACCCTTATAACGCAAAATTCATTATTACATACTTATCATTGTCATTGGTGGAACTTAATGCTGAGTATTAGGGGATGCTCATTGACATTTCCTTTTGTGTGAAATTTGTCTTATGTTGGATTTGAAGTGACATCCACAGCCACCGCATGATAGGGTACAAGGGTTCAGGAGATGGAGAGCTCTGGCTTTTCTTTGGGCTCCTTTTGTCTCCTTCTATTTGTCTTTTAATGTTTTCGAAGGATATTGTTTTTTTTGTGGACTGCTCTTCTCCAATTGGTTCTTTTTGCAATTTCCTTCTCCCAACTGACTGGATTAATTTTTGTCCTCAGCAAGGGATTCTTGAGCTGATCCTTGACTCAACAACATGGGGCTCCACATGGTCTCTTGCCAGATGTGATTTGTTTGGGTAAGCAGATGTCTGGCAATCAGGTAAGATGTCCAACCCATTGTAACCATTATGACTCATCACCAACTTTAATGGATGACATACTTGCGGCTCCATTATAAATGATTTAATTTACATTTACTTGAAAGTTTGAGATACCTCACTCAATAAAATTCAAGTGGATCAATTTAATTTCATTTAATGTCATAAATTTTATGTTTAATTTTTTATTCAGTTCAAATTTGTAACTGTTTTTATGAATTGGGATAAAATACAGATCAAATATGGATCGGAATCCAACAGAATGATCAGATAAAGAACAAATAGAAAATGTTTATCAATCTAACAATAACATGTTTCACTTTTATTAAAGCTTACTCAAAGAAAAATTCTGATATTGTTTGATTTTCATTGGTTAAGCAGGTTTCATGTGCATTTGACATGTTAAGCAGCATTCATATGTATAAGTTATGGCATTCTTAACACATCAAATGTATGTGAAGCCTGCTTAACCAATGAAAGTCAAACAAAACAAAAATAAAAATATCAGAATTTCTTTTTTCTCCATATCTCATTCTCTAATGAAATTTTAATAAAAGTGAAACATGTTAGATCAATAAACATTTCCAATTTGTTCTTTATCAAAACAATTGTTTTTATATAGACATTACTTTACTCAAGATAATTTTTTCCTCCTCTCTTTCCCCAAAATTGTTATACATCTACTGAAAGATGTAAACTTTCAAATACTAGTCCAAATGAAAAATTGCATATTATTATTGTTGTTGTATGATTAGTTAAAAGCCAAAATTTCTAACAACTTAATACTTAGTAAAATAGGTATCAAAACATACATTTATATTTAATTTGTGTAATATTCATGAGATATTAAAATCTAACAAATCTTAAAATTAAAAACTCAATTCACACTTCACAGCATAAAATTATGAAGTACCAAATGAATAATTTCTTGTCATAAAAGATTTTATAGATACTGATTCAGGTCTTGAACACAATGTGCATATATGACATGGTGCTGAGAAGTTCTTGGCTCAAGAAAAAGCCCATTTAAAAAAAAAAAAAAAAAGCATTAACACCTATTGGGTTATTTGCTAAACCTAGAAATCATACCATTAAACAAAATGGCTCTGGTAATGATGTTTTGCTTTTGAAGTACTTTATTAGAAAGCTTATTAAATTTTTCAAATTATATGAAAATAACTACATCATAAAAATTTAACTGCAATTTTTTTAGCACATGATATATGCAAAATTTGCACAGATTCTCACAATAATTCCTTACCAATAACAGCACAATATGTACTTATGGCACCATTATAAATGACTTAATTTACATTTACTTGAAAATTTGAGATAACTCACTTTTATTGGCTATATGACATTTAATCATAATTTTCAAAAATTGGATCAATACTTCAGCCATTAAAAAAATGACATCTATTTTGCGCTAATAGGGTTAATTTATCTAAACCGAGTTGGTGTGTGAAAACAAAGAAAAAATTTAACAGTAACCAACTTTTATTTTTTATCACATGCCAACCAGTTTACAAGCTAATTACATAAACAGGTTAATTGAAACATTGTGAAAGTCATTATTAGTTTCAGATAACACAAATAGACTTTTCACAAAATATACAACCTTTCATTTAAACCAGATGTAATAGCAGTTTTAAAAACTTATTCAGTATAAGATTTTATTTCAAACTGGTATAAATCATCATCTTTACTTACATTACATATTTATGAACAATTTATAGTAGTAAATAAATATTATCAATAATTACAGTTCCTCGCCTTTGCAAGTAAAGATTCACAAGCTTATTCCTAAGCAATATGAAATGTATGGATATTTAAAAATTTATCCATGTGCTTTTTCTTATAATTTTCATCTATTTCCACATGTCATGTCTATTTCTGATATCTATTTCCACATGTCATGTCTATTTCTGATATCTATTTCCACATGTCATGTCTATTTCTGATATCTCTGTAGTTATCTCCTTTTAACACCTTCTAAGTTCTTGTTCACCTTAACTGTAGCCAAGCATTGAACTCACAACTCTTTGGGTTAAGTCACTGAATTCAACCAACAATTTATCCACCAGCATGTGGATCTAGAACAATCTACTCTGGTGGACAAAATAAAGGGTTCAGTTCGAAATTCCAATCACCTGAAGAAGGCCAGAGCATACAACAGCTGAAATGTTGTAAATATGGCAATGAAAATGAGGACAACAGTCCAAACAGTGTAAATAATTATAATACTTCATCTCAGAAATATTGACAAATTTTCATCTAGTTTAAACTTTGAAAAATATTTAAGCTACGGGACTTGAAAGTGTAAGTTGAGGACAGAACACATAAAATGTAGCTTTTTCAAGAGAAAAATATAGGACAAACAATTCACTACCTTAAATCCTTTATTTAGCATGAAAAGTCCTGCATAATGAAAATTTCAGTACAGTAAAAGTTGAAAAGTGTTGTGGAGTTATTTCGCAGTGGAGGCTTGTATTTGTACTAAGTCGGTCCTAAAATAGGTTCGATGTACAAAACGTTAGGAACTTGATATAATAGGTATTACGCAGAGAAATCTAGTTGTGGTCACTGATACTTTTGTATTCGACCAACTGTTGTCCGACATCGACCAACTGACTGTCTCACTGACTGACTCATTACTCTTACTACTACTACTTATTATAGGTGGGAGAGTCTATTAACTATAGAATAGGTGTGTTCCACCATAAAAACCCAATCAGAAAAAAAAAATCAATACTAAACTTTTTATTTCACTGTTTCTACCTAAAAGAAAACTTTGTTTCATTGCATTTCTGTTTAAATAAATGTATTTAAATTATTTTTTATTTCAAATACTTACTTCCCTAGCTGGCAGACAGGATCCCCAGGAAGCTAGCTTTGTGTGTGCCTGGTGCAACTGTAATAATGCTGGTAAATAGTCGAGTTCTGATATTAGAATCTGAGTGGTCAGTAAATGTTGGATGACTTCACATTCCAGACTGCCAATGAAAAACAAATCCTTATCAATATTTTTAACTAGCAGTAGAGCCCGGCATTGCCAGGGGATGTAACAGTAAGAGATAGATCAAGTATCGACCATCATAAAGACTGAAAAATAAAATTGACAAAGATCATTGTTTAAGGTTGACAGACACACATGTCTTAATTATTTTTTTTTTTTTTTTTTTTTTACGAATTCGTCAAACTCAAACAAAAACATTGTTTTCAATCATTGTGTCTATGGATTGAATAGAATTTTATTATAAACAATTGTCTTGTAAATGGAATTTTTAAAGCATTCTGAATGTAAAAATAAAGAAAAAAGTGTGCAAGACAATAAGAAACACTACCTGCCAAAAAAAAGTGAAGTTTTGTTGAAATCGGTTGAAAAATGTAGGAAATCTGATCCCATATATAAATGAACACACATACACACAAACAACCTGGGTTTTATAATAAGTATAACTTGATATGAGTTGTCCCCCTTTCATTCTGGTGACAGAATTGTGTTTTATCATGTTTTCAAATTGATTTTGTGCAAAAACAATTGTTTTTCCAATTTTTGACGCTGTCAGAACCACCGCAAGGTAACTTTCTGTAGTCCTGTGAAGTTTTGTTGAAATCGTTTGAAAAATGTAGGAAATCTGATCCAATATATAAACGTACAGACACACACAATCTGCATTTTATAATAAGTAAGATATTGAAAAGAAACACAAAATATAGACAAGAGCATAATTATAACCAGGGCTTTACGGAGCCCCCCAAAAAGGAGCACGCTCCTTTTTACTGGAGTAAAGGAGAAGAGGGCTCATTTTATATTCAACCGGAGTGGATCATGAGCAGCTCTATTTGGGACTAAAGAGCAGGGGTTTTTGCACTCTGTGCTTGAAAATTATTTGAATTTTTATTTTTTAAACATTAGTTTGTATTCAACAATAAAAAAGAAAAGAAAGGAAAATCTGAGCTAAACTCTTGGGGTTATTTTTTATTATTATATCTGTGGTAAATCTATGAGTGAGTGAGTGTATTTTCATGTGTAACTATTTTAACTTCTAACCAGGTTTTGGTAAAGAGGCAAGGGACTTTGGCATCTAGGTGTTACTGTTCTGATGTACGGGACATTTCTTTTAAGTTGCAGGAGACAGTCTGAAAAAAGTGTCTTTAAAAGAATGATGTCATTTTTTATTAGATATGTATATGTCTGTGAGTGTTGGTGACTGAGAGAGAGAGTACAAAAGCTGTCTGTAGACATTGGTGTGGAGGAAGAAAGGTTTGAACTCTTTTTTGTTTTTATGACAAATTTTCATTGCTGAATGAATAAATAAACCAATATTTTCCTTTTAATTTACAGACAATTTACTTTTGTACACAATTTTGACATTATTATTATGATTATTATCATCATTTAAAGTGATTAAAAAAATAAATGAAATTTTTATGGGTAATAACTTCTGTTGGATTTTCTTGCCTATTTCCCTCGATATTCATCCAAATGTTGATAAAATTGATTCTTGGTCTGAAATGATACCTTTTTGTACTGAAATAAAATTCTAATTTAATTAACGTATATAAATTGTTTTTTTTTTAAATTTCTTAAAATTAAGAAAATGGCTGCTTTTAAGAAAATTTTCTTAAATCGGCCAAGAAGTTGAGATTCTGATCTATATAACTTCTATTTAAAATACACCAGAATATTTTACTGACTGGAAATAGTAAATGTAATCATTTAGCTTTCAATTAATGAATGAAAATGAAATCTTCAAGGATGCTTTTTCATTTTGAAATTGGAGGAGAAATTGTTTGAAAAAAACCGTCACAGCTTGAAAGACAGAAATTTCAAAAAACAACTATTACTAAAGTTAAACTCCAGTTTATGATAAAATAAAATTTGTAAAACTAAATTTTCTGTTTATTGAGGTAATTTTTTGGGAGTTAGGAATGATATATAAGGGAATACATTGGGGGAACTCTGGTATGTTTTTAAGGGTAAAAAGGGTATGCTGATAGACTAAATGTTGGTTCTTATTAAATTTGAGTACCAAAATATCTCATACCCAGATTATTAAAACCAAAAATGTCCAATGTTTATGAAAGAAGGTACATTTCAATTATGGAGCACCAAAAAAGAGCCGCTCTTGTTTTAATGGAGTTGGAGATGGGGCGGCTCCTTTTTTAAAACGGGAAGCATGAGGGGAGCCAGCTCCAATTTTGGGTATGGGAGCAGCAGTGGGAGCAACTCCAAAAATAGCGCAGCACATAAAGACCTGACCATAACACTAAAAGCTATAAAAACTGATTGGTATAATTAACAATGCATAAAGGAGAGAGAGTAATTAAAGTATGTAATTAATAGTTCAGTACTCAGTCATGAAGGTTTTCTTTCTAATATGTGTCTGTATCAATCAATTATGAATTCACCTCTCCTCGCCCCAGCTATGGGTTGAACAGCAGGACAGACTGGGTCCTATAGCCTTGGTTGGCAACCAGTCTAAAGAAAACAGAAAGAAAATCTTTTGTCATGAATTGAAGGAGACCTGATCACCCAAGTGTACACCTGACTGACTGTCTGACTGACTGACATTGTAAGAACTTCAATGCTTTATAATCAACACTTAATAAATTGATTAGCCAGAGTTTGTACTTTTGGAATTTTAAAATATTTTACTGACAGATCCTAAAAGAACATGTTTCATCTTTAGCTTCCAAATTGATTGATTAATCAATTCATTTTTTACAGTTTATCAACACATTGCAGGTTATTTAAAGTCAGAAAATATTTTTAGATTATAAGAATGGGGGGGGCGATAATAATGATTTAGTGATACAAGTCTTACTAATTAACCCATAGCTGGTGGGAGAAGAGGTGGATTCATATCTTTTCCAAAGGTATTTGTGTGTAAGTCAATATAACAAACCCAATAGGAATTTGAACTCAACTCTCTGATTAATAATTCTAAGCCAGTATTCATTACGCCACCTGCACATCCAAGCTTATAGCACCTGGTATTCCCAAGCGGCCAACCATCTAGGTATTGACCAGGTTTGATGTTGGTTAACTTCACTAATCAGTGGAAGTTAAATGAAATATAGAAAAAAAATAGCGGCTTTTCATGAAGATTGCAGGTTTTAGCTTTGGGCATCAAATAAAAGAAACTTGAAATGTTTATGGCAATATTTTGTGCAAATTTCACCCATCTAAGTACTGACATTGCTTAACTTGGGGGATCAATGTTTCAATATGATGTGGCTATAAGCCTAGCTTCCAAATTGAAACTTAGCAAAAAAAATCTTTCAAATAAAACTGCAATTTTTATTTTTGCTGTCAAATCTCTTACCATATAAATCTTTAAGTTTTGCCTTAAACATCTTTTGGGACTAAAGCTTACATCAGACCTCAAGTGTAACTTGCATATTTGTACCATTGCTAAAGATGCTGGAAGTATGATTGGTTTCTTGTCTGACTCCAGAAAGTAACCAATTCCTTCTGCCATGTTCTATCAGACCAAATATGGAGTATTGCTGTCATCTCTGGACTGGTACTGCCTAACTGTGACAAAGTCCAGAACCATTTATGTGGCCTTGTTAGTGATGAAATTATTTACTATTCTGCAACTCTTTTCTCTATCACAGTAAATATTCAGATGAGCTATTATATTCCTTAGTTTCACAAATTTAGACTTTAATACCTAGGACTGGCCATGCCACATACATGGAGTCAATTCATCCATATTTCCTTTATATTCCTTTGTTAAAAAGAAAGTTCTATACAAAGAACTTCTTCCCCAGAACTATCACTTTGTGGAAAAGACTCCAGAGATGATATTTACCTGACTACAATCTTAACCACTTAAAGTCTAGAGTCAACTGTTAGCTGTCCAATATATCTTCATAATATGTACCTCTTTATGCTCTTAGAACAACCTCATTCAGTAACCCTCTACCTTGATTGGCTCTTGGGCCTTGTATCAAATGAACAATAGTATTAAAAAACTATATATGAATACTATATTAACTCTTGATATAGTTAATATAGTATTTATATATAGTTTTTTAATATTATTATTCATTTGATACAAGGCCCAAGAGCCAATCAAGGTAGAGGGTTAATGAATGAGGTTGTTCTAAGGGCATAAAGAGGTACATATTATGAAGAATATTATGCACAATATTTTAATTTCTTCAAATGAGTTCTGACGAATGAGGAGTAATAACCGGTTAGCTCATTCTATAGTAATTTTTTTTTTTTTTTCATTTTTTTCTTTTACTATATTAGCTGAAGTTTTCTTCTTGTCCCTTCTGAATATGTTTGTTTTTGTTGCATTCATTTAATCATTTGGTCAGATTTTAGGAAGTGGGTCAAGATGCACCTTTTGTATAATATAACTAAAGCTTGAATATTTATACAAAATGTCAATATATTAACAGAAACAAATTAAAACTGGACAACTTTCTGACCCACTTCCCCTGACAAGTGTCAATTGCCTGTCTGATCCCAAACCCATGTCTCTAATCACTTATCAAACAATCCCCGGTGGTGTGACATCACACCTGATGTAAATGTAAGCAAAATCACCAAATATGACTCATTTTCCTGTTTATACAAATATTGCTTAAGTAATCTTTACCCTTAATGTAACCTTTGCTTTCTTGTGCAATATGTATTTTGGTAACAGTTTATATTTCAGAAAGCTTATTATAAACAAATAATATTCCTATAAGCAAATAAAAGTTCATAAAAGTTAAACTTTAAATTTCTCAACTAATAATTATTAATGACAGTAATCTTATTTTATGCTCTTTGGTGCTCAGACCATTCTACAGTTGTTAATATGCAATACAGATTAGAAATCAGATCCTGGCAAGATTGTAATTCTCACATCATTTTTCTTAAGAAGCCTGTCCATCTGAGTCAGCTGCCTTACTGATTATGTCATTAGTTATATTATTATTATAATTGTTTCAATTTTACTGATTGCTATTTCTGATTCATATGAAATACTAACAACTTAGGAACATTAATGACAAAGTGGGAAAAACTTTTTGTACAATATGTTTCGTCCTTCATCAGACTAAAGCGATGTTTACATTGATGTAACTACCCATGCACACAAAGGAGAGAGGATGCTGAAATTTTAAATTTTGCACATATAGTCTCACCAATTTCAATTAGTTTTTTTTTCTTTATATTTTTATCACTTTTGTCATTAAGTATCTCACATTGTAATAATTGATCTGCCAAGAAAGGTGAAATGTTGTAAGAACTTGAACACAAATTTACTGTGATGATCTACAGATTAAAGCACTTTCTAAACATTTTTGTTTTAGTAAACTGCTTTCTATTTTAAATAGAGTAGCACTTCTTAAATCAAAATTATGGTCAGTTTCATTAATTTTGCCACCTAACTCCCCAGACTGTAACCCCTTTGATTATTATGTGTGCAGCGCAGTTGAGCAAGAGACCAAAAAAACTCCTTGTAATAACAAAGTTGAACAGAAGGCAAGGATTATCGCAGCATTAACCAACTTAAACAAGGAGACCATCCAGAAGAGGTGCAGGAGATTCCCAAGTCATCTGGAGGTCATGATTGAAACCAGTGGCGATTTTATTGAATAAATTTACTCTATAGTATTTCAAGATATTTTTGTGTAATTTTAGTAAATGTATCTGTTAAAATGAAATTTCAGTGTTATTTTCATTTTTGTGTGATTTAGACGACAATTTATCCATCGTACTATATATACAGATTTTTCTTAATGCCACACCAAAACAAGATAACTTTAAAGATAAGGATCATATATTTCTTTTTATCATCAAAATAGATACAAAAGTATCTCGTTTAAGAACAGGATTTTAGGCGCCTTTCCACTGACAATTACACAAAAACAGAATCATCAGCAATATAAAATAAAAGATGTTGCTAAGAAAAATTTTTATCAACAACTGATATTAAGAAATTAATTACACAATAGGCATGTAAGGATGGAAAAAGAAAATAAATTACTAAATATGTTTCTAGTCAGGCAGTAGTTTCCCCAAATAAGGCCAACTTATATTTCATTTCCCATTGTCACACAGGATAGGACGTTGCATGTTATTAATAATAGACTTCAAGATGTCTAAATGGAGTCTCGTCCTAGCCCTGTGCACGACAGAAAAGAAGTCAGGTGAATAGTTTGTCCTGCAAGCAACAGAATTTAATAGGTGCTCACCAATCGCAGACTCATGAGTTTGCAAACACCAGGATATTATAGGCTTGTATCTTTGGACCTTGCCCAGGACATGCTGGGCAATCATTACCTCCAACCATTGGATGGTCTTGCCCACATAGTCAATCTCACATCAACATTTATATTGATATATAACTAAACTTTGTTGATTGGTAGGCAAGACATCCTTACGACAAGTTGGGGAAGCCTTTTTTGGTAGTAAAAATACTTCAAACCATAATGGTATTAAAACACTGTTTAATAGAATTAACAATTCTGTCTGCATATGTTTGACTCCCGGGACTGATCCACAGGAGTCTCACATAAACATGACACTTAGAGGGACCATATCTTTTAGACTCTTGAACTTAATGATCTTTTGTTCAATGGTAGCTGTCAAAACACATTCAGGGTAACCATTCATTAATAAAAGCTGTTTAATTTTCTTTAGCTCGACGTCAAGGTTACATTCAGAGCACAACATCAATCCACGATTAGTAAGGGTACTAATAAGATTAATTTTCCTGGACTTGGGTATAAAAGAATCCCAAGTTAAGTAAAGCCCAGAAAAAGTGGGTTTATGATAACCACTGGTAAGAAATCCCATAGGTGTTCTCTGCACTATTACATCCAAGAAAGGAAGCTGATTTTTCTCTTCTATCTTCATTGTATATTTTAGAAAAGGATGAAGACTATTAAGCTGAGAGAAAAACTCTTCCGCTTTACTCAGTTTATATATTGTTTTTATTTTAAGATTCTTTAATAGAAAAAGAATAACAAAAGTAAAAACTTAAAATAGTTTGCACTTAAACAATCGTGACCCAATAAAATGCTGATCAAATACTTACTTAAATGAAGCTTTTATTGGACTGAGGAGAGGATGATGAAAGCTTTTCTGGAAATCTGCAACAATTTCACGGCCAACCATAACAGGATCTTCATAATTAAAATTTCGGTTGCTCCCTATCGTCGTCAGTTGTTCATAGCTATAGTTTGTGTTAAGAACAATAACTTCATTCAAAATTTCAAAAATAAATTAATTTAAACACACACTCAAAAAAAAAGAAAAAAAAAGGAATTATTCATTTTATATAAGAATAAATAACATTTTTTGAATGAATTTCAGAATATATGTGCAGGTGGTGTAATGGATAGAATCTCATAAGAAAACAAAAAGCAGACTTTCTATTCCAGTCAAATTCATTATGTTCATTTAGGCATAAATACCATTGGAAAATCCATCTCTTTTCGCAGTTATAGGTTAAAAATAGCAAGACACACTGAATTCTCTAGCTATGTTTGGCAATCAGTCTAGGAGAAGGATTACTCTGAATTCAAAACTGTACATGGCCTTGATGCTGCAATAGAGATACCTTAAGGACAATCTCTATTAGAATTCATAAGAAACAACTGATTGATCAAGAGTTGTACAAGGATGCATGTAATGGATTGTGTGTTTTGTTGTATTACATTTCAAACTGTATGATTGACATACATATCTTACGATAGTGAAAATGTTGAAGTTCAGTGCAAAAAATTACAAATTCAATTTCAAACAAAACTGAACTATACCATGATTGCATAATTTATTGCTTTTTAATATTTTTTAAATTGAAGACCCCCTTCCACTACGACCACCACTACCTTCTTTTACTTCTTGAAATTAACTCTTTGCAAATTGATGAAATCTAGGAAATGTACATACAAATTTTAATAAAATTAATTCAGACATCTCAAAGAAATAGCATAAAATGCATATAAACAAATTCATTGTTGCTAAGCAATAACCTTGGAAATTCTATGATAGCTTATGCAAATATTTAAATTTCCCACACTGTGACATGCATAAGTTGGGAAAATGTTGTGAGACTATTTATGTAAAGTTGGGGAAATGTTATGGAACAGTTTATGTAATGTTGAGAAAATGTGATAGGACTGTTTATGTAAATTGGAAAAATGTGGTGGGATGATTTATGAAAATTTGGAAAATGTGGTAGGACAGTTTACATAAAAATCAATTAGAATGGCTAGTCAATTTAACTTATTGGCTAATGCTTTGTGTAAACATTTCATCTTTAAAATAATGAACAGTAATGAACAGTCAATAAGAGTTTTGTTCAAAATATTGTGAAGAATAAGAAAAAATGTATATCAGAAGAGAATTCACCATTTATGTACTCAAAAATTAATTCATTAAATTTTAAAAACCATTAACCAATTAATGCCCACTGTAAAATCTAGTATTAATTTTAAAAATGAAAATAAAAATCCAATAATAACTGTACATATCTAAAAAAAAACAATTTTTGTTTATATCACTCTTTATAGTACAATATAAAATTATGTTGCCTCATTTATAATATTAAAATCTACTGATCTTTGTTTTTTTTAAAGATAAATTTAAAAATTAGATTTTAAAATGCACAATGTTTCAGCTGTAGTACACTCCAACTTTCTTCAAGTTAGAATTTTGAACCAAACCCTTTATTTAGCCCACAGGAGTATATTGTTCTAATTCCACATGCCATACCTTTGGATTTCTCAGTTTTTTTAATTAATTCCCCTTGATAAGGACACATGGCCTAGTGGATAAAAATTTTGGTTGATTGACTCAAAAAGTGATGACCCCCAAGTGTTGTGAGTTCAATCCCTGGCATCAGCAGTGAGAACAAAAAAAATAAAAACAAAAACTTGGAGAATTGAGTTATCAAATGGAATCCAAAGGCATGGCAAGTGGAATTAGAACAACCTACCCCTGTGGACTAAATAAAGGGTTCAGTTTGAAATTCCTGAAGAAGGCCGGAGCATACAACGGCCGAAATGTTCTGAATATGAAAATAAAAATGACAATAATAGTCTGAATAATGTAAATAGTTACAATACCTCATTTCAGAAATATAGACAGATGCTAGATTTTAAAGCTTTAAAATGTCTAAGAAAAAGAAAATTGATTTATTTGCAATAAAATGTTCAAATAAAATTAAAGCATATTAAATAATAATCTTATAAATTCTTAGCCTTTGGTGGTATAAACAGGGGAAAAAAAAGGGTTTATTAGATAAAACATTTAAAAAATGAAGCTTTAAGATTCATAAAAATAATTGGACTCAATTTAAAAAAAAGGCTACAGATCCATTGTCCTGAGACGAGCCACTGGGAAGCGTTCCAGCTGTTCACACAAATGAGCCAAAAGTGCATCAAAACTAGAAAGTGGATCTGGTTGGTGATGAAGTGTTTCACGAATCTTTTGAAATTCCATAGTGAGGCTTTGGTAAGAATGACGTAAATTCTGAAATACAAAAACAAATAGAAAGAAATCACAACATCTAATAAAGAACTCCACTTTAATTATGTACAGAGTTCAAATTATTTGTTTTCTTGCCAACATTGAACTGGTTTTCTAATTAGTTATAGGAAATAGAAAGCAATCACTCATTTATTAAATAAAATGTTTTACTTTGTAAACAGTGTATCAAGCTTAAATCCAACAAGGAGTTGTCAATAGCTTTAAGAGTTTAACTTGCATGAAAAACGTTTGAGTCAGACACATTCAATATACACCAAATGATCTTTGTTTTACAAGTTAAAATAAAATTTGTAACAAAAACATCTACTCACATCTTTTGGTCTTGTGAACCATTTTGGGCCAAGAAAGGACAATGACATGTAGGCTTTTTCGTCTGTAACTAAGTGTACAAGAGCATGAACAAGCATTGTCCATGAATTAACTGTTGTCTTATAACTATCACGTTCTCTTTCCTGCAATTAAACAATTTGCATTAGCAAAATTAGTTGATAATACTTTTAGCTGAATAAACAAAAATTCAAGTGTAACACCACAAAAAAGGGGGGTGTATATGTGAAGGTGAAGGATGAGCGACTTCTACAAAAAATATTATAAGAATGTACAACTTGTTATATGCACAAATTATACACACACACACACACACATATACATATGGGTTGTTGAACAGGTCCTATCCCATCAATGGATTTTTTTTAAATTTTGACATTTTGTCAGATTTTAGTGATTGACAAACGTTGAGAAATTGTCCAAAGTTCATTTCATATAAAAAAAAAAAAAACACACACACACACACACACAGACACACATCCCAACAGTCAACATTTGTCTCTGCTTACCCTGATGATAACTTCAAAAAGTTGAAAGCTTGGACGATATTCTTGTACTTTTCTTCCAAAATGAACTTTGGACAATTTCTGACAGAATTTTCTCCTTGACTGAGAAGGTCATTTGTAGTTTGGAAAAGTTGATCAGTAAAATTAATCAACACAATTTAATCTGCTGTCTTTGGGGAGAGAGAATTTATATACAGCAGATATAAGCACAATAAATGCCAGATTTAGATAAAGAAAACTCAAATGTTAAACAAAATGTACATTTACTTTTTTAATAAAAATGTAATTATTACAAACGATCTGTTCTATTTTTCATCCTAATTAATAATCAATTTCAGAGAAAGGTCATTGTTGCTGTAAATTATCAGCACATCTCAAAATGACAGTTTCAGACTTACTCTTAATTCATATGGAATCCATTTGTCCAACTCGGGTGGAGGAGACAGTGAAAAGGGGGAAAATAAAGCTTTAATGCACAATATCTTTTGCTTGAGTATTATGGTTCATAATTCTGTTTGAGTATTATGGTTCATAATTTTTCTAAACTATTCATAACTGATGTCATTCACAGATCTTCCTCATGGCTCAATTTTTGAATAGTCTTAACTGCATTATCTGTAATTAAATATTTACTAGTTAAATACAAAAACTAAATATAAGATTTGAAAGCACTGATTATTTTTGACAAATGTACTGCATATTTCAAACAACTTCATCAATATCTGATAATCCAAAGACATTATTAGTTTTACAACAGAATACCATCATGATAGCAATTTAAATGCTGTAATCTTTTGTAATACAAATAATGTTTTATGGTTCTTCCAATAATGATGTTGGTTCTTCAATCAGTAATTCTGCCATTGCTTTAGATTTAAATCTGACAGCAGTTATCTTTCTTTGGTCTGACAGCAGTTATCTTCCTTTGGTCAAACATTATGCAATCACTATTTGTATATGACACAAAATATGTAGACATTCCTCAATTAATGCGCATTTGATTAATGTGTTTTTGATTAGTGCTCTAAAATTTTTATATACCAAAATTCGATTAGTACATACATAATACTCGATTAATGTGGTAAAAAAAATTTTCAATTTAACCATAGTAACTGAAAATTGATATTTTATAGTTACTAATGTACAAATTAACCTGACTAATCAAGGTATCTGTCATGGGTCTTAAGTGGTTTACAAATAAAAAGTAATAATTGCAAAAATAGTATCAACACAAGTTACAATTAGAAGAGCTCTACAAAAGTAAGAAAGAATTCAATTTAGAAATTACTATTCCTGAAATAAGTAAAATATATTTTTGTTGATGTATTTCATGGACTCTAATACAGATATCCTCTATTTTCACACACAATATTAAAAATAAATTTAGTCTTGTTCCTCAACTTTTAAGATGGGACATTCGAGGAGGGGGTATTCTTTTTTTTAAATTTAAAATTCACCTTTTAAGGTAAAGGAATCATTCTAAAAAATAATTTAAGTAGTTTAAAAAAATTTGAATGAGGGGTCAATTTCAACGACATTATCAACTGCCTGTTGTACACATTTGATCTCTTAAATGATGAAATGTCAATAAGACTTTTGTTCAAAATATTGTGAAGAATAAGAAAAAAATGCATATCAGAAGAGAATTCACCGCTGATAGAATGTATTCTTTTTTTAAAGAACATTAACTCACTAATGGCCACTGTAAAAACTAGAAAAACACAACTGGTGAACTGAAAGAGAACAACAAAGGAATGACATAAGGTGTTACTGATAGAGCACCATAAGAAAAAGACAAGGGTTACTCAGAGTGGACAACAAAGACAAAAAAGGGGTTAATGACAGAGGACAACAAAGGACAGACAAGTGGTTATTGAGTGAGACAACACAGGAAAGACAAGAAGGTACTGAGACAAAACCACAAATGAAAGGCAAGCGATTACAGAGAGTGGACAACAATGGAAAGAAAAGCGGTTACTGAGAGAGGACAAGAAAGGAAAGACACAAGGGTTTATTGATGAAGAACAATAAATAAACAGAATTCAATGAGACAAAATATGACAATTGATGTTGCATTTAAATTTTATCCAATAGATTTTATTGTATTTTTATCAACCCTGTGCATGTAGCAAGGTGGGTCTTGGCTGTAAAGGTTTTAGCTGGTGGCACTAAAATTGGAGCTAACCTGAACATTTACCATGTAAGTAGCAATAGGCTTGCAACCTTTCAGCAGTGGGAAATTGCCTGTGGGGTTGAAAATTTTAACAACCCGCCCGCTTCAAGGCTTGCATAAACAATTTTGAACAATGTCAAAACTGCAAAGTGAAGCTTGGGAAATGCCTAATCATTATGTATCCTACTTATCCTTGTAATCTTCCTCTTAAGTTCCCACCATACACCTTATCCAGTACCTCTCTACCTCAAGTGCCACTTGGGGTTTTGTATTGTGTGAACTATAATATTTTAAAAAATATATTATTTTTTCTTTCTTGTACTAAGCCTGTTACATTTTAATCAATATATGATGACAGTTTTATTGATGCTTTCAACTAAATGTTTAAAGTATATTGTGATCAGGACTGTGATCAGGACTGTGATAAAAATTTATTTAATCCTTTAAACCCTGATTATTACAGTTCTCCCACTTTGGGCCCAAGCTGTTTATCTCTGCTGTCTGTGATCCTGGGCAGTATACCATCCACCCAGGTATATGCACTTTCACACAGTGGCCAAAAGACTGGCTACTTGGGTTTAAAGAGTTAACAAGAAAAGAGTTCCTTGATATGCAATTTTGCATGCTTGACAATCCAAACAATAACTGTTAAATCACAAGACAATTTCATTAAACAAATCACATTAACAAAATTATTACATTTGTACAAATGATGTATTACTTACAGCCCGTTCTCTAGCTTGGTCATAATTGAAATCGCTGAGCATGTGGAAGTATTTCTCAAGAAAGACTTCACGAAGAGAATTTGTAGAAGGATTCATCGAGCCAGTTGCTACAACTGGAGACTGAACTTTATTACCACTTGACGGCATCTTGCTTATATTATTGACTAGTTGATGAGACACGATACTTTAATATGTAATATTCTGAAAAGAAATAAAAAATATTTTATTAACAGTTTTATTTAACATTACTTATCTCATAAACAGTGGCGGATCAACTATGAAACTTAGGTACATCCACGAGATCGCTAAAAAAAGAGCATAGCATGATGAAAAAGACGCCAAACTTGACGAAAACAAAATTTTATTGTCTAAATGTTTGTTATTATTAAGAGGAAAGGTCAAAAGTATTTTTGGGGTATTTTTTCCATTTTTAATCGTTCCTAGCATGTCCGAAATTTTCGTTAAAAATCTAGTTTTTTTGAGTCAGCAAAATTGACCATTTTTTTCATTTTAAAAACAACTGAAATCTCACTTTGAAATTCTTTTTAAATATCAATTATCATTCTTTCAAAACTTATTTTAAGAAAATCAGAAATTATAATGTTTATTTAAAATATTTTGAACCAAACTTAGCTTTTGTGCCAAAAAGATGTAATTTGAAAATAAAACAAAGCAGGTCATAAACTTTCGCATCTCTTGACATGTGATGAATGATATATTTACGAATTCCATGAGGTTAATTTGTTCTATGGAAGGAGAAAAGTGAAATAATTTACATTTACGTGAACAAATTATTTACCCCGTTATTTTTAACGAAAACTTTTAGCGGTCTAATTTTTTTTTTTTTTTTTTTTTTTACTTAGCTTTCACCTTTACGGGAAATATATTGTAAAGAAATTAAAATAAAACTGTTAAGAGTGACATTAAATTTCATATTTCTTAAGAAATGTATCTAATTAATTTATAGGTACCTTTCTTATGAAATTTTATCAGAATTGTACATAAAATACTATAATTTTATGTACATTTATTACATTCTACTGTTATTTGTATTTGCATTCATTTTATTAATAATTTTGATATTTCATTTATGGAAAAATGTCGTAACTGAGATTAATATAAAAATAAGATCATATAAATTTCATAAGATGATACTGATACTTGTAGGTACCCTTCTCAGTTGAAATTGAAAAATCAAATTAACTTCTCCACACGTGTTTTGCAAAAAAAAGTAAAGGCCTTAACAGCGGAGAACAATGCTTAACTCAAATAACGCAAACTTAATTATATTCTGGTTGGTCTTCCGTATTTTATAATTACAGCTCGATTATAAGCACAAAATTACATTTCTTAATTACTGGGTATCTTCTGATTAGTCAAAATGATACAATTTAAAACGCGCTAAAAAAGATCTATCTCATAAGGACACTTATGAAAGCCGATCTGACTTTTAACTAATTTTATAATATTTTAACAACTTAAATGTAAAATCTATTATAATTAATGAAATAACAAATAATTGTATTAAAAATTCATTTTTCATCGAAAAATTTTTTTGCTTTCAGAAAATATTGTCCATATTCATAAAAACAACTAAAAGCAAATAAAAGCATTTGAAATTAAATAATATATTTGTTTTATTGAGTTTTGTATGTTACAATTCAGAGCTGATTTTCAGGTACTGCGTATCCAATTAAAAACAAAAAAAAAACATGATTTGCATTCCTCAAAGCCCTGTGCTTTTAATTATTGTAATCACTAAAACCGATGCGATCGAATTTCTAGCGTTTTCATAAAATTAGTTATGGGGGGGTAATAAATATTTTAAAAAAAATATTTCTACCATGACTTTCATAAAAAAAAACATATTTATAATAATTTCGATCATCTGTGAATAGTTTCTGAAAGTTTCATTAACATCCGATAATTATTTCTATTTTTGCAAGATTTTCAAATTAATGTGTCATACCAAAAAAACGTGCTAAAAATTGTCTATGTTATTTACTAGTTCCGCTGATACAAATAGAAAAAAAGGTTTTTTAATCAAAATTTAGAATGTTCTAAAAAGAAGGAAAAGTTTTTAAAAATAATTAAAAAAAACTTTGGTCTTTCCTCTTAATAATAACATAAGCATTTAGACAATAAAATTTAGTTTTCGGCAAGTTTGGCGTCTTTTTCATCAAGCTATGCTCTTTTTTTAGCGATTTCGTGGAGGTACCTAATGAAACTCAACTTACTTCCTGCTCTTCATTACTACTTGGACAATGGATTGCTCTTACCTCATTTTCTGTACCTTTGATACTCTCTCTAGCTACAGCCTTCCTAATTCTTGGTTATTTCAAACAAAGACAATATTACAACAAAACTAATGAAGCTTAAGTTTCAGGGTCCCTAATCCCAAATGGATCCATGAAGCAACTTTTTTAATGATTGAATTTTTCAACAAAACCAGTTGATTTGTTTTAAAATGTTTGTTATCAAAATAAGGCCAGTTTAGTGATAGAATCATAAGCCAATTGGTTGAAGTATCTAATGTTGGCCTTAGGATATGCTCTAATATCCATTTCAGATAGCCTCAAAATTCCCCTGTAATTTGTCAAATTTCAAAGTTTCCTCTGGGGTTTACAGCACCCAAACCTCCAGCTGTATGGGATCATAGAGTTTTCCAGAATCTATTCATAGCTTACATTTTGACAATTAGGATCCTCAGTCAAATCTATTGTTGCGTGTTGTGAAGGGGTCGTAAATCTGTTTATGCTTCAGAGCCCAAAAAATTTAGGCCTGGAACTGCTTCTGCAAGTGTTTTTTTTTTTTTTAAATCATGTCCTACTTACATTTCCAATAAAATCTGAATGGATCTCTAACATCAAGAGAATAAGAGAAAAAAAAACAGGGAGCAGGCAAGGGGGCACCACTTTTATGCTTTTTTCTGTTGTTAACATAATTTTAAAGAGTATAAAACTAAAAAAAATCTTAGTTTCTCCCAATATTGTCAATATCAAAAGGAGAGATGTAAAATAATATAGATCATTTGTAACCATTAAACCTTTGATCAATTAACAGTATTTTGTCACAATAGAATGTCATGTAAAAATACAAGTTTTTTTTCCTTGATTAAATTCTCATACAAATTTGCATTTACTTCAGACTGATATAATAGGAAGAAGTTTAATAGCAAAATTCTATGGAAATTTAATTTTGTTTTTTTACAGCTTATCAAACTTTTGTATGCCATTTAAACCTGAAACATTTTTGCGTTGTAAGAATAATTCATTCTTTTTTGCAAGTGAATATTGCATCAACAATCCTTTGAAGATAATGGTTTCCAGATAAAAGGCACAGTATTTAGCTCATAGCTGGTGGGGAGAAGAGGTGGATTCATACCCTTATCAAGGGCACTTGTGCACAAATGAATGCAACAAACCCAACTGAAACTCGACCTTGCCTAACCCCCACACCCCACCACTACTAACCATTACACCATCTGCACATTCAAGCCTACAAAACCTAGTATTCCCAAGTGGTCACCCATCTAGGTACTGACCAGGCTCAATGTTGCTCAACTTCAGTGATCATATGAGAACTGGTGTTTCAATGTGATATGACTGTAATATAAAAATTACAAGTACATATTCATTTCCATTTGAATATATTGAATATATTATATAGCTGGCTGTTCATATCCAAGTACATTTGTCTGTACACCTGTCTAGGAGGGAGAAGAAATAGATTCACACTTTCCCATGGGTATTTATGAGTAAGTAGATGTAATCAACTCAACTAGAATTTGAATTCAGTTCTTCGATTTCTCATTCAGAGTTCTTAATCATTACACCACCTGCTCATCCAAGCTTACAGCACCTGGTATTCCCAAGTGGTCACCCATCTAGGTACTGATCAGGCTCAATGTTGCTTAACTTCAGTGATTGTATAAGAACTGGTGTTTCAATGTGATATGACCATAAGCCAAAAATTTACTTGATTTGATTGATTTGTTTTCTACAACTTATCAACTCTTTGTAGATTATTTAAAGCCAGAAAATATTTTTTAGATTGTAAGAATTTGGGGAGTGGGGAGATAATAGTTTAGTCATATAAGTCTTAATAATTAACCCATAGCTGGGAGAGAAGAGGTGGATTCATACCTTTCCCAAGGGTATTTGCGCGTAAGTGAATGTATTAAACCAAACTGGAATTGGAACTCGGCTCTTCAATTAACAATTCCGAGCAATTATTCATTACACCACCCGCACATCCAAGCTTACAGCACCTGGTATTCCCAAGCAGTCACCCATCTAGGTACCCACCAGACTTGGTATTGCTTAACTTCTGTGATCATATGGTGAAATTTACTTGAATAATAGCTGAAAACAGCTTTTTAAACTGAACATCCATTTATCCACCTTCTGTGGAACCATTGGTGTCAGAAGCATTCTGGAGAATAAAGGGATTATCCATAGTTATTGAAATCTATCTATATCTGGACACTTTGTCTCATGCTCTTTGGACAGTTGGGTTTTGAATTCAGTCATGTTTCTCCTAGACTGGTTGCCAATCACAGCTAGAGAGTCCACTCTGTCCTGCTAGTTAACCCATAGCTGAAGGGAAAGGAGATGGATTCATACCTTTCCTAAGAGTATTTGTGCAAAAGTGAATGTAACAAACTTGACCAGAATATGAACTCAGCTCACTGATTTATCATTACAACCTGTTAATCACTACACCCCCTGCACATCCATACTTGTTTAATCTAAAATAAATAAAATAAAATAAAATAAAAAATAAATAAAAATAAAATAAAAACAAAAATGAAAAAAAATAATAAAAATAAAATAAAAACAAAAATGAAAAAAATAATAAAAATAAAATAAAAACAAAAATGAAAAATAATAAATAAAACTAAAATAAAACTAAAGGATAAAGCTTATCTTTGTCGATAAAATCTTTCTTGGTTCCTTACGTCCAATTCTTACGCCACTTTGCAATTGACCAATTGTGTTTCATTATTCATTGGGTCTGACAAGTATACATAACATTGACTAAGATGCACTAATTCTTTTTAATAGAGAAAATTGTGGTTTTATAATGTTCATGACTTCAACAATGTAATTTAATTATAAGATTTAAAATAAACATTAAACTTACACTAATTTCCTGTTTTAACCTTTTTTTATTCCCAAAACTTAACCAAATGGCTTTTTTTTTTTATTTTTGTAATTTTATGAACAAGGCTTATAATTTTGACAGAACTTTATTTTATGAACTAGCATATTTACTGTGTAAAATTTTCCAGCCCCTCTTTCCTCATATGTGCCCAAGAAATTTCAAGTGTTTAATATTAAGAGTCTTTTTTATTTCCATTTTCTTTAAAACTTCCTCATTACTAATATATTCAATCCATGATATTCTCAGCATCCTTCTGTAGAACCACATTCCTCTTGCCTCAAAAGTCTCTTTATCTGTGAAGAGAGTGTTCAGCATTCACTGCCATATAGAACGACTGATATTATTACATAACAGTTCAGCACTCTCTTCTTTGTTTGTAATGAAATTTTCCAGTTTCTTAATACTTTACTTAGCTTTTGGAAAGAGTCTTCCGTTATTCCAATCTCGCATTTCCATTACTGACTGCACAGGACAAGGATATGTTGAGGGCAACATGACCAGAGGAAAGCAGCGACTAACAACCTAACGGAGGAGGGGGTAGCAAAAATACAAACCTTACTAAGAACTACAAATGACAGGAAGTTGTGGAGAGACATTATCGCCCACTTCCTGAAGGGACACAGCACATAGAAGTACTACACTTACAGGCTATATATCGCAATCTCATTATTGCCAAAATGTTACTTAATATTTATTTTCTATTATAAATGAATTTATGATTTAAATTTACGCAACGAAAATCATTTTGTTTTTATTAGCTTCCTTAGCACGATTTTTAAACTTTGCACACTCTGAAAAGGAGTCTTAAAATTAAAAGAATTAATTAAACATTATTTGCAATGACAAAAAGTTAGCATTTAAAAACGAATGTTCGAGAATGTTACCTCGAAATAGCAAGAACAATGTGTGTAGGTGTTTGGCTGGCTGATGCAATTTTTTTTCTATTCTTCTCACCCACCCTTCCTAATTTATTACCTGTGACTTTCTCTAGCGACTTTTCGGCAGCTTCGTTAACGAAACGTTAAATACGCGGTTATTAGGTTCAATACCCGCCTTTTTTTAAAAAAAAAAAAATTACCAAGTGAAGTGAGCCATGACCGTCGAGTTGAGTCATTTATAAAAAAAAATACTTATTTTATTCAAAATACCTGACTGAATGAAGATAATCATCGAAATATTTAATTAGAGGATTTTTTTGATAAAAGACCAGTTTTGAAAAAGAAAGCTTCACATAGCTTTTTCAAAAAACTGGTTTAAAAAAAAAAAAAAAAAAAAGTCCAAAGACATTTTAATATATATTTTTTAGAAAAACATATGCAAAAGAAAAACGTCTTACAACTAAATACTAAATTTTAAATAATTTAATTTACTTAGTTACTTATTTAGTTACTGTTACTTTAACGATCTCAGAAAAAAAAAAAAAGATACCTAAAAGAAAAGGTTTTTAAAATTAATTTTTAAAAATGAAAAGTCTTTCTTGGGGCTTTTATTTTATTTTTAATTTCAAGCTAATAGATTATTTAATATTTCCACTAAACAAAATACTTAGCTGTATTTCAAAAACTATCTCTCACTCAATATACTCGCTCATAGGTACGAGCTTGCTGCTTATAAAACGGAAGTTAATTTGATCAAGTCACAAGAAGTGTATGATGCCTAGCGTAAAACGCACAGTAGACAAGCGTAGAAAACTAAATATACTACAAACAACTGTTTAGAGTTTAAAAAAGTATTTCTGTTTAATTTCATATCTAAAGATTAGTGATTGAATTTAATTAAAAAAATATAGCCACTCAAAAAAAGGGGACTTTTTTTTTTTTTTTAATAAACTAAACTAAAGTGAGTCAATATAAGACTAATTAATTTTTATAGAAAAATGAGACTTCCTTTTTTTTCTGTAAAGTAAGTTGTGCCAGGTTAATAATAAGTAAAAAAGAAATTCGGTATTTTATTATTCTTTATCGTCGTTTAAGTAAGGAAACAATTTCTAAGTTATGAACATCAGTTTATTTTTTTTTTTAAACAGTATGTGTGAATAATGTTTCGCGATTTAAATCTTGTAGAAGCAGAAAAAAAGAAAAATTACCTCAGGAATATTTGGAAAAAAAGAGTAGAAAAAATGATATGACAGTCGCAATGCACAGGCCACGACGTCTATTTGTGGAAATTTGTCTTTCTTTACAAATAAGGATGCAACGGAAGGATGTGCTTCTTCTTAAATAACTAATAAACTTGCATTGTAATTGTAATCATTAGAAAGAAAGTAAATCTATGCAATTTTCACTTATTTCCCGTTTTTCCAGACTTGTGTGTGCTTTTTGGACTTGTACCTAAAAGTTAATTAATTAAAAAAGAAGTTAAGGTATATTTCACAAATAAAGGATTAAGAAGGGTGACAAAAGATGGTTTGAATTTACGATAAGAAGATGAAGGCAGCATTTGACATCAAAAAATCTTATTTTAAGAGAAATTGTCACTTTTTTTCTTAAATTTAATTCAGCCAATTCTTGTGAACTTTGCAACAACAAAGTCTACTTTCTTAGAAGAATTTTTTAAAATGCTATATTGTCATTTATTTCTTTTTTTTAAATTTGATTTATTTTCAAAATTAAAATGATTGCCTAGATCGGGAAAAAAAACTGATGATTAAGTAACAACAGCAGTTTTAATTAAAAGAAAACAGAAATTAAAAATTAAAAATATAAAATAATCGAGTGTTAATTTAAGATTGCCGTAAAAATTCTATAATAATTCAAGTATGCCTCCCAAACTCGACACTTGCTATTGAATCTGACTTGTCCAATGTTTTGCCGAAAAAAAAACATATGAACAAAAATACATTTCATAAAAAATAAATAATAATCATAAAATTAAAATACAAACTTCGATTGTGGGTCATTGAAGTAACTGTATGTGATACACCGGGGTCATTTTTATTAATTTTACATGCTAAGAATGAAGGTTTTGTTTTTTTTTTATCAAATTTACTTCATTTTTTAATTTAAAATAGAAAATTAAATTAAAAATCGTTCAGTTAACGAATAAGTGACACACCCACAAAGTAAAGTGATTTCATATTGACCAGTAATAATTAAAAAAAATTAGTATTCTTATCACTCAGCCTACCGACTAAACGACAAATTTTGATTTAGTAAGAAATGAAACTTTCTCGTAATAAAATCAGGAAATAACATAGTAAGGAGGAAAATCGAACACTATAGTGAAAAAATGTCACAACTAAAACAAAATTTCAAGGAAACGTCGAGATTTCAAGCTGTTTAACTTAAATTTTTTTCTACACATAGAGAAGCAACCTTTGAACCAGTCAGCTGATAGGTCGAGTAATAAGTCTATCTTATTCTTAAACTCAGTATAGATTTCTGTGTAATTTTTTTTTTTTTTTGCATTACGCGTTATGAAAATATTCTTTCAATCTTCTACAT